AAGTACAGTGCAGGGCAGCTGCAGGAAGTTTCCTCCGTGATTGCACATGTTCCCACCCACTCACCCTACTGCCATCAGTCCTAGTCACAGCACAGAGAAGCATCTGCATTTCATGCACAAGCCTGCACAGAAACACACGCAGAGGGGGGAAAAAACAACAATCAACAATCCCTTGGGTATCAAATCCAAAAACAGCGCTGAAAACCTTGTCCTCCGACAGACACACTGCAGCATATCCCCAGACCAGTGAAGGGCATGGCTTGTGCCAGGAGCACCATGGTACGTGTATCCCTTACTTTCAATTCCACCTCAGTCTATCAGCTGGCACTTGCTACCTCCAGACTGTAGCAAGGATAAAAATGATCCAGTTTACAAGAAGCACAGCACCGTGTGAACCTGCTGTGTGAAGTCCCATATTTATAGAAATGCCTATAAATAATAAAAATCTGTAGGGACTGCTGACCCACATACACACCGTATTTTCTGAATAGGGTGCATGTATTAAATCTGCAAACTAAGGACACCTCTCACCTCTCCCATTTTCCCCCTTCCTCAGTTTGGTTTGGGGGCTCAGTACACCACAAAAATAGCCTGGTGGAGGGAAGGGAAGGGGAGGGGGTAAGGGAAGAGGCGGAAAGAGAGCAGCAGCTTTGCCTTCCATTGTTCAAGTCACAGTCCGCTCACAAATCATGTTTCCAGCCTGCAGAGTGAAAAGCACAGAATCGCTAGCAATGAGGCACATCAGCTCTTCGTATCAGCATTGCTGCTTTGAGTAACTGAATTATTCTACAGAGTAATTTGACAAGCCAGCAGGCTGCCCATCAAACGAGAACCAGAATGCATGCCATTTGCGAGACGAAGCAGCAATAAGCTTTTAATCAGTCTCCAACAAGAGTGATTCAAGTGAGCCAGTGTATTAATGGGTTTTTTCCTCTGCAGAGCCAAGAAGTGAACATTAACTGCACTTTCTGAAGTGGAGTGAGCAAACTGAGAAGGAACAACTCATCGGTCCCTTTCACAGTTTCAACACTCAAGATAAATGAAAATGTACAAAGTTAAACAACAGCCAAGAAGTCATTTTATAATATGCATGCAGGGGCCTGATCCAAATCTCAAGAAGACTTTCAGTATTGATTTTTGTGACTATCAGACCAAGGCCTGAAACAAAGAGATATATTCTGCTTGCCAGGTCATGAGAAAATAACTGAAATGAGCTGTACAGTAAGAGAAAATGCCAAAGGGAACAATGGAGCTTACTGTTATCCTCCATTTGACCAACTGTACAGGAAACCAATATAACACAGCAGCCTAAGGGCATCTCTAAAGTCACTTTTAAAATAAATAATAAAAAAACCAAAGATAAGTCCATAACTTGGAATGCAAAGACACTGCCTTGACTCCCACACGAGTGGCAGGGACAGTCCGGCAGAGTCATGTCCTGAAGTTCCAGGTAAGGTAAAAAAGCACTGGATGTGTTCGTGGGATCAGTCTGACGTATCATTTTTGTTTTGTGAAAGCCTGGGGAAGGATGTGTTACACAGAAGGATCTGTGCTGCTTTAATGCTGAGGTTAAAAAAGGCACTGAGCCTCAGTGCAACTCCCTGCACTGCTTTCATCACCAAAGAAAGAAAGATTTGCTTTCTCCAGGGTGGTGAGAACAGGAGCTCACAGTTACATTTCGGGGTATCACAGAATCACAGAACGTTAGGGATTGGAAGGGACCTCAAAAGATCATCTAGTCCAATCCCCCTGCCGGAGCAGGAACACCTAGATGAGGTTACACAGGAAGGCGTCCAGGCGGGTTTTGAATTGGAGACAATTTGAAAAGGAGACTCCACAAGCTCTCTGGGCAGCCTGTTCCTGTGCACTGTCACCCTCACTGAGAAGAAGTTTCTTCTCAAATTTAAGTGGAACCTCCTGTGTTCCAGCTTGTGCCCATTACCTCTTGTCCTATCATTGTTTGTCACCGAGAAGAGCCTGGCTCCATCCTCGTGACACTCACCCTTTAAATATTTATAAACATGAATGAGGTCTCCCCTCAGTCTCCTCTTCTGCAAACTAAAGAGACCCAGCTCCCTCAGCCTTTCCACATAAGGGAGATGCTCCGCTCCCTTCATCATCTTTGTAGCCCTACGCTGGACTCTCTCCAGCAGTTCCCTGTCCTTCTTGAACTGAGGGGCCCAGAACTGGACACAATATTCCAGATGCGGTCTCACCAGGGCAGAGTAGAGGGGGAGGAGAACCTCTCTCGACCTACTCACCACCCCCCTCCTGATACACCCCAGGATGCCATTGGCCCTCTTGGCCACAAGGGCACAGTGCTGGCTCATGGTCATCCTGCTGTCCACCAGGACCCCCAGCGGTAGCAGCTAGCACATGCTTAACTTTAAATTGTATGCTTAAATCCCCCCAGCTGGCTATTAAAGGTCACATGAATCCCAGAGATCTAACAGCAAAAAGAAAAATCCCCAGAAAATACTACACTGGATGTCACTCCTGGAGGACGCAGTGCTGGCATCACACGTTATGGTCCACACGTCCCCCGGCGAACTTGCCAGCACAAGGACAGCAAGCTCCCAGTTGCGCTGGCCGTACCTGTGAAATCACTGGCTAAGCCCGCCTGCAGAAAAGTGTGCGGCTCTGCCACTGAACGGCAGCAGCTCGGGCTCATCAGGCTGCTCCCTGCAGGAAACAATCCCGACTGCCTGGATCTTGCCGATGCAGGGACATATTTAAAAGTGAAGCACAAGGGAAACAGGGCTTGAACAATAATCACCTTACCAGATGTTTTCCAAGGCAACTGAATACTCCCAGTAAGCCCTGTAACACTGCCTACCCCTATTATTGTAGTAACTAAAAGTGCTGGAGCACATTTACAAGTGGCCAGAATTCATCTTCCCATCAGTGAAGGGAAATGCTATCAAACAGCAGGAACACTTGTGGTTCCACTTGGGAGTATTTATCAGCTACTGGCCTTAAATCTTCTACAGTGAAGCTTTCAAAGTTAAGTTCATCTACAAAGTCTGTAGAATTCAAATAGAAAGCCAGCTCCTAAAGAAAACACCAACACAAGCTGAAACTGAGCTCTGCAGGCACAGTATGAGGTCTCCAGGGCAGACACTGCTTCCAGACACCATAAATGACAAGACCAAGAATAGAGTGAGCACGGGGACAGTTTTTGTAGGAAATCAGGGTACCCTAAGGTACAGACAAGTACATAATAGGATTTTCACACATTCCTAAATGAACCCCAGACCTAATTATCCTTCTCAGTGGAAAACACAGATAAACGTACACCCCAACAGAAAAGTTCTCATAATTTCACTTGGCAAAGTGTTTGGGTGCCTCACTATCTTCCAAAATTCTAGATCTTGCATACAGCTAGATAGCGTACGCAAGCATGTCAATGCCTTGATTTGCACACTGCTGAGATAGTATCAATTGCTGGTAATAAACAGGTAGGAAACTGAAAGCTGCTTGTTCGATGCTTGATCTGAGCTAACTGGCTTTGTGAACTTTGGCTTCTTGAGACCGTAAAATAACAGGGTTTGTAGCCACTGGAGTATGGACCACTTCTGTCATGTCCATTCCTATCTCTGGAAGAGTGATTCAGAAGCTCAGGGTACACAGGATGTGGTGCGCATAGCAGACAGGACATGGGGTCCTTTAGTAGATGTATGCCCTGCCAGGGTGGTGACTAGAGGCTGTGTGGTGAAAACTGAAAGTCAAAGGGCTCTAAAAAGGTACACTTAAATAAATAATGGAAGCTCATCCACTATACTTTAAACCTCAATGAGTTTATACATATAGGTACACAAGCAGAAGATTAATACAAAGGTAAATTTTATGTCCTTCCAAAGGCAGTCACCTTGTTGACTTTTAAATGAGCTCTCCTTAGGGAAAACAAACAAACAAACCCAACAATAAATGGTTTGCACTAGAGTTAACATTATCATCTTTTTGACAGTCTCAGCAGTAAACTTAACTATGAAAGTGAGTGTTAAAACAAACAACTGACACACAGAGACACAAAGAAAATACAGGCCTGGTGGTGAAGAAGGCCCAAATACACTCAATGTTACGATATAGCTGCTAATTATTGTTGTAACATACAACTGCTTAAAGATCAAAAATTATATGCTTTCTTTACATATTCTTGGAACTAGCTGTAATGATCTAAACTTATTGTTTCTCTTTGACATTGAGTATGCAATTTGTTCATGATGCCAAGAAAAATAAATAAATCACTACAGGAACAATGACTTCTACAACATCATGATTAATAGTCTCAGATCTGTCACTCCACACAGAAGTTCTGTAATTATTTTCCTTCTTAATGAGTTTCCTTCACACAAGGCTAAGAAAAACAGTCACGTCAGGTTTGTTTCTTCCAAAATTTATTTCTTCATCTTTCTTTCCTCTGTATCTGTACAGGATGTCCTAATTGCCCTTTTCCCAGCCATTTCAAAAAGCATCGCTAATTTGTAAGTGGGCATGCAGAACACATCAGGAATGGTCGGACAAAGCTAAAAATTCAAGTATTTAAACACTGTGTCACAGATGGGGGACTAAAGGGGTACACTACTGACCCTGCTTCAAAAAGGATCTGTCACGCAGAACACTTCATTCTTCCTGTGGGTCCTTCCACGCTCACACAAACCACGGAACAGCCAGACCGTACATACGTGCATTAACAGCAGCAGACACCTTCGGGTGTCAGGACTGGTCTGGGTAATCATTTGCCCAGCTGTTTCACAGCTAATCTGTACTCACAGTACACTCGTGTACTTGACGAATAAGAGATGTTCTTCCTTCTCGTTGGCCCTCCACTATTTTCTCTAAGATTTAATTCCATGGTTACCTGCAATCTAGATCACACAGGTAATTACAGTGATGTGGTTTGGGGTGACGTTATCAGCCTAAGTAACTGACTTTGTCTTTCACTCTCCACTACTGATATCTGCAGTCTTCTTGGGGCCAGCTTACCATGCAAGCCATTTCTTAAGAAGCCTCATTTACATTTTAAAGTGATGTACAATTTTGCAAAACATAGCGATAAACCCCTTTTCCTTGCTCTCAGTTAAAGAACTCTGACTGTGTCTTGCTCTCTGATGTGGGAGTCGGACTCTGCCTCACCAAAGGCTGCTGTATCAGAAACTGGTAGCAGCACATAGGGAAAGTACTTCATGAAACACTAGTAAATATAAAATTCTTTAGCATCAAAGGTAAAGAGGGACTATGTTTGTTGACTATGCTTTTGGCTTAGTCCACCTATATGATAATAGTAACCTATATTATCCATGACAAATGCACAGCTTGGAGAATTATCACTACAGTGAGCTGATACTGAACCATATAATGTAATGTTTTCAATGGCCACACTCTAGCCGTGTTAAGGCTTGTACCACAGGAATTAACAGGTGGTATCTATCACAAGGTACATTTATTTGTTCTAGTGACTACTATAGTCAGGTTAGTTTGAGTACACAGACCCAATTTCTTTTCATTCTGGTCTAAAGAACCAAGTGAATCAAAGCGAGAACAGCACCATAATCCCAGTGGGGAAGCTCAGGAATTCAGGGAAGAAAGAGACTCCAAAGCAAACATCTAATACACTGAGAAACAGAAGACAGACATAAATGTGTAAAGGCCTCCCTTTACATCCACCATTCAGATAGTCCATACCTCCTTGGCCATGTCAGTGTATTTCTGCTTTTCTTTTGGATCTAGAACAGCCCACCAATCCGCCAAGATCTTGGTTGCGCCACGGTTATCAAGGCGAGGGTGTTCTTTTCGCACGAGAGAGCGATGGCGTTTGCAGAACAAGAGAAATGCATTCATTGGTCGGCGAGCTCGCTGCTCTGAGGACTCGTCATCTTCGGTTTCATCAGCATCCTGCTCCAAACCGTCAGCACCAAGGAGCGGCACCTAGCAGAACCAAAAGGGAAAGGGTGTACACTCAGTTATCCATGCTTCTCACAGATACTGAGAGTCTGTGGATGCTGCGTGTGTGAGTGAGGGAGACACACGTGGATACATACAGCTGTCTCCAAAGGCCATGCTTTCTGTCCTGAGGACACAGTGCTACATCAAACTTCCATGCTTGATGGTCCAAAGTTCATGCACGCTTTCTGCAAGACTTAGAAACCTGCTCCACTTGCAAGTCAGAGTTTAAGATGAGGACCATTCTCCAGTCCTAAAGGGGCTGGAGGATGGAGATCCTCCCTAACCCCTTCCTACAACCTAGAAATCATCTCAGTGGGATGAGGTGAGCAGAGCTACCTTGGACCTCGATCACTTATGTTTGCAATTGCAACATGCATAGGAAAGCACACAGGAAACAGCTATTCCTCCCATCGCCTGCTGTTCATTACTCAGCCTGTGAGCTGTGCTGCAGTGCAGCCACTCCATAGCTGCCCAGTCAGAGCCAGAGAGCAAATCTCAACAGAATACACTGCCAAAACATGCTCTCTGCTCACAGATCATCCTATCATTCCTGCATGGGACACACCACAGCTGTGACTGAATGAAACTTATGAGACAGAAAACCACCTCCTACCCAACTGCAACACAGCTGTTTTATGCCACATTTTGGCAAGTGACCTGTAAGGTCAACTGAAAGCACTGTCAAGAGTATATGGCTCCTCCTTGCTGCTCCTTATCCTTGTTGAGGTCACTCTTCCTTATCAGTATGTGGCTCAAGGCAACCTCCTCAGCACCAGCTTCTCCCTTCCTGCCTTAGCAAAGCATCAAGGAGATGCAGATATGAACATTATCCACATGTTGGAAACGACACATCTCCAAAACACATCACCTTCTATTCCCACTTCTTGCTACAGACGATGAGTCTAACTGTACAGGTTTTGAGGTGCCGCATTGAGGGGTCCTTACAGAAAAAGAGTAAGGCTAGCATCATTCAACAATACCAAAATACCAAGCATCAAAGAGATTATTCCACCCATGCTCTCAGTATTCTGGAGGGTAAGTTAAATTTCACGTGCAAAGACACTAAAAAGAAGTTGACAGCTTTATCTTCTTTTTCTCTTTTAACCATTAAAGAAAAGAGAGCAGCAAGAAGCAAACAAAACAAAAACACTGCGGGCTAGAATCTGACCCACCAGTAACCTTCTATGGTCAAAGCATCCAATGAAGTCTACCTTATCAATATCTTCCTCTTCCTCCTCTTCTTCTTCCTCTTCAGAGAAGTCAAGGAGTTTCTTGGCAAGCAGGGGATGCCACTGAAGACACTTTCTTTTTGGTCGCTTCCCAGTTCCTTCTCCTTCTGTCGAATGCTCCTTATTCCTACTACTGCCTTTCATTACTGTGACCTGTCATGCAAAAACAGTTGTAAGTTCACAAACTCTTAAGTATTGATGACCATCAGAGAGATACTAAACCCTGTAACAAAAATATGGGGCACTAATGCAAGACTCTCGGAAGTTTTTAGGCAAGGTAACAGACAGAGGGTTACTGCAATTACCAACAGCAGCATGGAGTATTTTTTCCAATGTTAACATTTCCATATAATGCCCAGACTAACTAGCAATATACAATTTAAGAGCTCAAATCAAGGGCAGTCCAGCTCTCAAACATGCTCCTGTCTGAAGGACAGCAGAAAAGCCCCCACACTTCACTGGTCAAGTGAGTGAGAGACTCCACAGCTCCTTCATACCTGTGTCTACTGTAGTTTTTCATATTTTGCCACCGAAAATGTCAGGATATCCCTCTTTTAGCAGTGGAACATATCACCCCATGGCACTATGAGCTAGGATTTCCAAAGTGCCATTAAAAGGTGCAGTAGGGAAATCTTTCTCCCTGTCTAAGATAAGTGAATTTTAATACCCAAATTTGAAGCAAACAACCAAAAGTAGTCACCCTGACACTTCCAAAGTACTCATCAACAAGAGCCCCTGTGCAGCAAGCAAAACAAACTATCCACTGAACCAGGTGCATGCAGAAGCTAAATAATACTTACACACCTACCCTGTGTGTATGTCCTCATCTAAAAAACACCTCAGAACTACCTCATGCTTAACACACGCTAACTACCAATTTAAGGGATGGCTTAAGACATCTGCTACTAGAGTAAGGGGCAAATAAATACACAGATAAATAAAACTAGCACATCACATTCAATTACCAAAGCCCAAAGGAAGCAAGCACTGCTGGCACACAGTCTGGTCCCTCATAGTCTTCTGTTTGCACTGTGTAATGCCAACGATAATCCTGACAGGAGCAGGCTGGCTCTTCAACAAAACAACACAAACATCAAAACAAACAGAAACTGGAGAGTGGTTAGCCAGCTAGGTCTTTATAAAGCCAACAAAAACTGATAAAGTCTCACAGGGACTTCTCACCAGCAGGATAAGGAAGCTGGGCTAAGTCCTGGTCCTGCAGGTGAATCCAGTGGAAGCTCAGCTGTCGACTCTGGGGAGAAGGGCATGAAAAGGTCGAGCCTTGTTGACTGCGAGGCCACACGGCATTTTATGATGCTCCTTTCTGTAAGATGTGTGCTAGAGCACTAAAGCTTCAGCCTACAGCAGCAGAAGGGAAACCCGTGACACCCGTACAGTTGCCCAAGCCTTGGTGCCACCGTCAGGGTGAATGCCTCACCAGACTAAGCAGCACCAGTCTGTACATCTCCAGCCACGCTCCTATATATCCCACCCATTTAGCAACCACTAATTCTGCTTTTGGGTGCTCTCTCGCACGTGTGCTTCTTTGTTGGTTAACTCACTGGCATTTCGGCAGTGCACCCTTGTTTGCACCAGAAGTGTGCAAAAGCAGCTGCTTCCTCCACAGACTCCAACGGCACAGAAAGCTGAAGTACCTTCAGACACGGCTTGCTGGAGGAAACAACTGAACCCTGAAGGAAGCAGGTTCAGAAATATTAACCTACATATTAAAACGGCGTTTTGCTGGATGTGTATTACATTTTGTTAGTTCCTCCCTGCTCATCTGCAGTACCTGGCATCCCCATCAGTTACGGATGCCCTGTAACTTCATAGTAGCAGCTTGCCTTTAAGGTCCATACTTTGCTGTCCCTATCACACTACTTCTACCTGGAGCACATTTAAACTTTGATTTCACAATACCCAATCCTCTTCATTTTCTGTAACCAACTTCTGTCTTCTCAATAAGTATTACATGGCACATAGTCACACATCCTTTCACTTAAATCTTTGTCCATGACTTGCAAAGTGGATTCAAATGCACAGAAACAAACAACTTTGGCTTTCAAAGAACATTAAAGTGTGGAAAATCAAGCTGCAATTCAGTATCGTGAAATGCAAGTTTGACATTGTTTCTGTCCCACTGTGACCTCTGCCGTGTACCCACACTGCACCATGCTCCTCATCTGTCTCTCTTCCTAAAGGGCTGAACCACCATTTGCTTTTGTTTGGGGTATTTTAAGACAGAAATCAACAAGAGTAGCTGAGTTACTGTTTGAGCAGGAACTTTGGCTTCTGTGAGTAGTAAAGATTTGTTAAGTCTTGGAGTTTGTTAAATGATAGAGATCTACTGATTACTACAGTCAATAAAGTACGTGGCCTATTTCTGCACAGGATAAATGTGCTACAAGTACAACAGGGAGACAGCTACTCCAGCCCTTACTACTGACTTACCTGGGCAAGCTAATCATATGGTTTCTACCTACAGCCAGTCTAAAGTATTACTGGCAGTCTTTTACCTTGCTAGTGTGAAACTGAACTGATGTTTGAAGAGTGCTCCATGATCCTCCTCTACAAAGCTCGGCTGAAGTCTCAGTGGTATTTCAACAGCAGCACCTTTAGCTGGCACCTCTTTGCCTGCTGCCCTTCGAAAGATGAGCAAGAGAAAACTTCACAGGACTTAAGAGATACCACGGAGTATTTTACACGTGTTCTTCCATTTCCCCTGAGGCCCTGCCTGTGCTCCACACTGAGCTCAGCAAGGCAGCACAGATCCCAGGCACTGGTCACTTTGCAAATCCCAAAGGGGCTCTCAGTACGTTGTGTCTCTTTACTCCTGCCCAGCTCCCAAATAGTTTTTGTTCTCCATACATGAAGGCAAGCTTGCTATTGAACACCCAGTTACTCCTAAAATAAATTAACCAAAGCTCACTGCACATTAGTGCTGAAATAGAAATGTATGCTCAGCTCCAGGAACCCAAGTGATGTTCATTAGATTGTTTTCTTAAATTGTGAACCATTTTACCCTGCAGCAGCAGTTCTACTATAAAGAGGCTTTTAGCAAGATGGGTCATTACCCTATCAGCTGAACAAGCATTTAGGAGATCCAAAACACAGGACAAGTCAGATCCTGGCTGTTTATACAGGCACCATTTACTACAGAAAGACACACAGTCCCTTTTTTTCCACTTCGCAATGAATCTCTGCAATAGTCAGCAACACAGACTGACTTCAAACCTTAATTTTACAGTATGGCCTGAAAGTCTCCTGCTCCTTAAGTATGTCAAGCTATGTAGTCTGTCCTGTATGCCCTCCTTCTCCTTTCCTATAAAATAGGGGATCATTCATATAATGAACAGATAAAACTATTTCAGCCCTTATTTTTGAATACTTCTGTGGACACTTTCATTTCTTTTTCTATGGCAGATTTTGGCAAGACGTAGCATAACTTCCTAGACAAGGCACTCCATGTGTGTCAAGTGAACACGCTTATGATTAAATGACAGCACAAGTTTTACTGGCATCATTTACTCGTTAAATGGCAAAATATCAATGGAATCCATTCAGTGGGCTCTTCAGATTCTATTTATTTGTTGGTTTTTTTTCCTCTTGACACATCATCAACAGTGTATTAGTTGCTTGTGTTTTATGAGAGAATCAGGTAGACAGAAGCAAGCAAAAAACCCCAGCTCCTTCTCTCCCCTCCTCTCAGGGATCCCTGAGTGCTGGTGAGCATCCATACCAGCAAGCTTCTGAACTACGAGAACTGAAGTATGTGCTTAAGGCTTGACAGTTATATAGTTCTATACAAAGTCATAGAACAAGTGATGGGCAGTCTTTGCAGGATTTGTGGCTTAAAAGTATGGAAGACACACAGCACTGAGAGTGAAACGTCTGCAGTAACTAGAACTTATGAGTCAAATAAAAAAAAGTCATTTTTTCTGCAGTATCAGTAAAAATATGATGTACTTTATCTTTTAAGGTAGATGTAATGGCTTTTAGAAGTTAGCAAAAGAAAAACAATTAAAACCAGCTAACAAGATTTCACAAGATATTTCTTAGTTTAAGGATGACTAAAAAAAGTGAGACACTAGGGAGAAAGTAGGAACATCTTCTAACAAGACAAGACAAAAGTATGGACAGCTTTGGTTAAAATAAGCCACATATGCTTTATAACGTCACCAGAGGATACCTGTCAAGGCTGACATCCATGATCCACTGACAGCAAGAGATACCTTCAGGGTGATGTTCTACACCTAACCTTTACTACAGATACAGATCAAATATTATAGAGATAACACATCAGTAAAAAAACAAAACAAAACAAAACATTTTTCCCCTTTTTCTTTTTTTTTTTTTTTATGTGTGCTGGCTGAATTATTTCCTTCCTGGAACCATTAATCAAAGTATCACATTTTTCTTGGATGTCTTATAAATATGTACATCTAATAGAGCTTCAGAGGAAAAAAAAAAAGATTCCTTAAGAAAAGAGCTGGATGGTGGGGGAGAAGAATGATTGTTTAGCTTTTTATGGCATATGTTACTATTTCAATTACACAACTGTATGCAAGTCTTAGCTTTTTAAGTGTTCATTAAGAACAAGTGTTTGACCACCTTAACATTAAGTTTTGTTTTCCTCCTGTCTTCCTCTGTTATTTACAAATCCTGACACAAACAGGTGACCAACTTCTGCAGCCCTAATTTTGGGACTATCTCACCTCACAGTTGATCTGTGTCTGAGAATGTCACTAGTGCTTATGCTGAACAAGCTGCACTCACCAGGCATTCCCCAAACTAAATCCACAAACACCAAAAACCTTTATAATGGTCTTTAAAAGTAACCAAGCGCTGTAAGGCACATGTTGTAATATAGGCTAGAAAGAAATCCACAACCTGCAGTAGCAGAACCCCAGAGATGTGAATTGTGACTATAGTGTTGTCCCCTGCTGAAAGGTTTTCCATGGAAAAAATGCCTGAACTTCAGCAATGCTCATCTTATTTCCATGAGGATAGTGAAAATGAATTTCAGTTTTCCTGTTGCCTCAAAACCAGATTTCCCGGAGTTCAGCTGGGCCCTTGGCTGACTCCATGCAGACTACTGGTGCAAAGGAGGAAATGGAAAATTTCAAGTGGATTTTCCACACTTTCTGCTCTGC